ATGTCCAATCAAGACAAGAGAAAAGAGGGACTACGAATTAGCTAAACACATCTGTTTTTCTATTTCGTATTTATTTTTCTGTTCCCACAATCCGTGTTAACTATGTATAAAATCCTTACAGTATTTATGACTTGTAAATGATTGTGACAAAACAATATCATTCTTTTCCTATCCTGTCTTAGTTAAATTTTTATGTTTCCCTAAGATGATTTTTCTACACGGTTGCATTAGGAAACACAACAGTCATATATTAACTAAGTGTTATAAAAAATTCACTCCAAGACCAAATTGTAATCCACGGTTAATCCTGAAAAAAAGACAAAAACAATAACGTAACAAACAATGACTGATTTCTTACAAGTCTTAAAATATATAATACAAAGGATTTCAGGCGTTCAGTGTGGGTTTGGGGAAAAACCGGGGTTTTGGGGGAACTTTGGAACGAGCGAGAATTGAAACCGAGCAAAAAAGAAGTGAAGTGGGAGGGGGCAGGGAGGGGAAGAATTTTCCCCCTCCCCCCACGTTCCCTTTTTTTTGCTAGTTCCCATTTTTCTAGCGGGCTCTTGGTCGAAACAGGAACCCTAAAACCCCGATTCTTCCTCAAACCCTTTAAGAGAACGCCTGGTTTTCCACACACAGAGTGGCTTTTTGTTGACTTCTGTGGAGCGAGGAAAACCGGTGAACCCGTAAAACCCTCGAAGCACAGGAGAGAACCAACAAGCAACTCTACTCACATACGACACCGCGCCTAATGGGACTCGAACCCGCGTCACCTTGTTGACAGGCGAGCGCCCTCACCGCTAAGCCACCAGTGCTTCCCATGAAGAAATAGGAAACGCGCGCGCGTGCCGTGTGCACGCGGGGGTTGGCAGAACACCAGAGAAGTGTTAGGAGAAGCACGAAGCGTAGCGGAGCTAAATGTAGCACCGTACACCACCTGAGCTAAATGTAGCACCGCACACCAAACGGCCTAATGTAGGGAAACATAAAATAAAGCCATTCTTACCTATCAGTCCGTTGGTACCCTCTTGGTAAACAGTAATTCAATTCTAGTCGTGCAATGCCCAGTAATAACACCAGACCTACGCCACACGACCAACGAGTATTTTGCACTAAAGGATTTAACTGCTGTTTCCATGGTAACGCTAGGAAATATATGGTAGTTATATTAGATTTTGCTATATGGTCAAAATATAGAAGTGATGATGATAATGATGATGGCGGTGATGATGATGGCGGTGATGATATTGGTGATGATGATGATGGTGGTAATGATGGTGGTGATGATGATGGTGGTGATGATGATGGTGACGAACGCAACGATGATGGTGGTGATAATAGTCTAATGACAATAAACTTCAGACCACGTGTTATATCCTAGAGTATCCTTTTCTTGTTTAACGGTTGCACATGAGAAGACACATGAATACACATGGATACAACTCAAACAAAGAATCTTATTCTCAAGACCATGTGTCATTCCCTAGAGCATAATTTCTTTGTTTGACGGTTGTGCATGAGAAGACACATGAATACACATGGATACAACTCAAACAAAGAATCTTATTCTCATGGGCACGCGTCATTCCCTAGAGTATCATTTCTTTGTTTAATGGTTGCACATGAGAAGACACATGAATACACATGGATACAACTCAAACAAAGAATCTTATTTTCAAGAGGATGACACATGGTCTGTAATTGGTAAAAATTACTCCCAAGGTAAAAAGATCTATTACTGATTTTCAATCATTCCAAAGGGAGTGAAATAACAAGACACGGCGGCCATGTTGGATGATACAACAAAATAATTCATTAACAATTTTGTCAAATTCATCCAACATGGCGACTATGACGTCATGTACAAACGAAGAATTGCCCTATTTCATTATATCGTCACATCAAAACAATATTAAACAATCTATTGTTTAAACGCAAAGGATCATGGTCATCGGATGGGGTCAAATCAACGCAAATTCACCGAAAATTNNNNAGTATCATTTCTTTGTTTAATGGTTGCACATGAGAAGACACATGAATACACATGGATACAACTCAAACAAAGAATCTTATTTTCAAGAGGATGACACATGGTCTGTAATTGGTAAAAATTACTCCCAAGGTAAAAAGATCTATTACTGATTTTCAATCATTCCAAAGGGAGTGAAATAACAAGACACGGCGGCCATGTTGGATGATACAACAAAATAATTCATTAACAATTTTGTCAAATTCATCCAACATGGCGACTATGACGTCATGTACAAACGAAGAATTGCCCTATTTCATTATATCGTCACATCAAAACAATATTAAACAATCTATTGTTTAAACGCAAAGGATCATGGTCATCGGATGGGGTCAAATCAACGCAAATTCACCGAAAATTTTTCTAAAACCCGTATCAATCCACGAAGAGAAGTAGAATTGCCAGCAAACGCTCAGAATATTTTTTAGTACATATTAACACATATCATATTTGAAAACCAGGGCATTTTAGATTGCTGTTTTGCTAGTAGCAAATTTTGTTGAATTTTCTATTGGATTTGGCGATTCTATCCCCCACATAAACAAGCAGTGATGTCATAGTGAAATAGGGCAATTAGTAAGGAACATCTGAAGAACCGAGGATATACTTACAAGAGTCTATTGATACAAGATTTCCTGCATTAACGAACACATGTGTTTTTATGTGATCACCAAAACTTCCTTGGGCAGGTCTGAATGGTAGTGGTGTGTAGAGATGTAGGCCTACTGACCAGTATGCCTCTGCACCTAGAGAATCCACTAGAAAAACCACAAACCAAATAACAGCTAAGATATCGAAATACAGGTTTTGCACCATCACGTGCCCCCCCCCCCCCTCTCCTACGCCCCTGGTACAAACACTTTAGTACTGATAACACAGGGCTCACAGCAGGAATCAAAATGAAGTTTTTCAACAAGGTGCCAGTCAATTACTAAGTCTAAATATTTTATGTACTGTTATGGAGGGACACAGATTTGTCAGTGAAAACTGTCATTTGTCACAAACATTAATAAAGTTGTTTGCCTAATTGATTGATTGATTGAGTTCAAAAGTCTCACTTCTGTCTCTTGGTCCTATGCCCTTCATGTGAAAACCTCTAACAGACAAAGGACCACCAAGGAAAAACCTGGGAAAAAAACAAAATGTATACTTGAGATCAACCAATAAACGTCTTTAGCTAGTGCGTAATGCTTTCCCATTTCAGACCACGTGTCATTCTCTTGAGAATAAGATTGGAGTCACTTCAATATTCACTTGTCTTCTTATGCAAAACTATTAAACAAAGAAAAGATACTCTAGGGAATGGCATGTGATGGGAAAACATTACGCCCAAAGTAAAGAAGGTATATCGTACTTAACCTACGAAATAAAAATTACTTGTGTGTGAGAGTCGAAAAGACAGAAAAGAATGATAATGACACGTGAGAATGACACGTGAGAATGACACATGATACGTGGGAATGACACATGTTCTGAAATAGGAAAACGTTATTCCTAGGGTATTTAAAGAGATCTATTGTACTTAACCAGCGAAATAAAAATTACTTGTGTGAAAAAAAACACTTGTGTGATAGTGGATTAGACAGGAATTAATGAGAATGACACTTGAAAATGACACATGGTCTGGAATAGGAAAACATTATGCCAGGGTAAGGAGGTTAATAAGATTGAAAGAAGTTTGCATTGGAGGCATTCCTGATTGGAGAGCTTTTCAAATATTAATATTCAAGCTGGACACATCACCTGTCATTAATTCTTGTTCTCGTGTTGGGCGGCGCATTCATTATACCACCTTGTGCTGAGCATGAGAGAACCTGGAAATCATACAAAAATAACATAAACATTTCCTGGAAATCATACAAAATAACATACAGTACACATTTCCTGGAAATCATAC